CGCGTGGCGTCGAGCTGCGTGGCTGGTCGAGATGCGTGGCCGGTCGAGCTGCGTGGTCGGGCGGCTGCGTGGCCGGTCGAGCTGCGTGGCCGGTCGAGCCGCGTGGCCGGTCGAGCTGCGTGGCTGGTCGAGCGGTGGCTGTCGAGCTGCGTGGTCGGTCGAGCTGCGTGGCCGGTCGAGCTGCGTGGCCGGTCGAGCTGCGTGGCCGGTCGAGCTGCGTGGCTGGTCGAGATGCGTGGCCGGTCGAGCTGCGTGGCTGGTCCAGCCGCGTGGCCGGTCGAGCTGCGTGGCCGGTCGGGCTGCATGGCCGGTCGAGCTGCGTGGCTGGTCGAGATGCGTGGCTGCTGGACTGTGTGACTGGTCGAGCTACGTGGCCGGTCGGGCTGCGTGGCCGGTCGAGCTGCGTGGCTGGTCGAGCCTGTGACCGGTCGGTCATCGTCCCGGTCGTGGGCACATGGGCGCGCCCTCTACCAGCACAATGTCTGACCCGGCCTGGGGCGACGTGTCCTGGCTCGTCATCGCTTGTTTGGCGGGCTGCACGTGAGGTCACCTTAGGCCGGTGTCACATGCGTCAGTCCCATTCGTACGCAATGCTTCGCGCGGTTTAGCGTACTCAGTAAGGTCGCCAATACACCTGTGCTTGCCGCGACCTCAGGTATTTTCTATCTATGTGTGTGTGTCCGCCATTTCATTCCATCACCCACAGGCTAAACGGTGCAACATCTTTCGACGAATTTTGCACACGACCGAGTTCCGCCGGCTGCGCTTTTCTGTGTTGCGTCAAATTTTCGCATTTCGCAAAAATGAGCGCGTGCCGAGCGAAGAAAAAACGCAAAAATCCCGTAGGGTTAACGCGGGCGACGCCAGTTTCGTGATTCCGGCCGACGGCCCGACACGCTCGGCTTCCCGGAGCCGCATCTCGGCAACCAAGGCTCGCAGCCACGTGAAACTTGCACGGTGCGATAGAGCGTGGAATGGGCCATCGCAATCGGGTGGGTTTTTTGCACCACGTGACGCGTGGCATGTGCATACGTGTTGACAAGTTGATATGGACCGTTTTTGACGCGGTTTTACGTTTACCGTTATATCTCGGCGCGTAAAACACCCAGAGGCCTGGATGTTCGTTCCCAACATTACAATTGAAGCGGCTTCACTTTATGCACATCGCGACTTGTGCAACGCACCGTTGCGCTGCGAATTACAATACATTTGCAACGGGCGAGTTTTAAAACCAGCGCCAAATGCGAGCTACCACTGTCAAAACGATGCGTGATCTGGCGTTGAAAACTACACCAGCGTGTTGGCCGATTCATCCTGTCTCTGGAGCACCCTCTTGTTGACCGCATTTGAAAAAATGTCGCTCACAAATGAGCGTAGCCTAAGCCGTTGCATGACGGCGTTTTCGCCGCGACTGCGGCAAGTTGCCGGCCCGACTCCCGGCGCACGCCCTAGGCGTTAAGGGTTAAAATAGCCGTTCGGGTGGCGGGATTTTTACTTTGTTCGTTTAGCTTATCTTCATGTTAAAGGACGAGCATTCTAGCGTGTCTTCAGTCTGGGCATCGGCCGGCGGACGGGTTGTGGGGGGGGGGGGGGGGGGTTGGGATGGCGCATGGTGGTCGAGGGCGCGCCTTGTATAACTCTCGCTGTGTTTGCAGTGCGCGCATATGCGTGGATTTTGTTTCCGCACATTCACAGTTGACGCGACTACACTTTCGGTCGCATCGCAAGTTCGTGCAATCGAAATGGCACGATCGCGCGCACCACACGGCACGGAATCACAGATGGAGTTTGCTCTCTCCTGCGGGTTTGCGCGTTTTGCGCCACATTTCGGCACCTATGGCACAAACACACTCGGGATTGGCGCGCTTAGTCAGGAGCCAGATGATAATTGTGGTGACACGTGTCACATGTCATGGCACACACGTGTTAAACTATGGATTTACAAGATTTTGCCCTTTTGAGAGCTTACACGTTTTCGTGATATCTCCAAAAACCGGGGTATAAGTATGTAGAGGCTGGCATGCTTCGATAGGTGATCCAACGAGCGATCACTCAAACGTGTACGATGTCATGCTGCACGCGTCATGGACACGTGCACATTAGCTACGAAGCTCTATTTTGTCGATTTCGTCCATTTTCACGCTTCACGCGGGACCTCCGCTCTTATGGCACATAGTAACACAGACTGGCATGCTGCGATAGGCCATTGAACGGAAAATTTAATTGTGTCACAAGTGCGAGGTGGCACGTTACACGTGTCGGGCACACACGGGCCAGGAAGATGGCTTTTGGTCCTTTCCACGGTTTTACACGCTTTGTGCCACATCTCGACACCCAGGGCGCGGAGTCACTGGGGAGTGGCATGCATTGATAAGAAATCGGACAGACAAGGACGTTGCATGAATTGTCATGTCGCACGTGCTATGTGTAATGCGTGCACGAGCCAGCAAGATAAATTTGGCCGTTACCGGCCACATTTTGCACCACATCTCGGCAACCATGGCACCTAAAACCGTGATGATGAAGAACTTTTACTTAGGATGATGGATTTTTACCCTTTTACACAGTTCCCCACGTCTTGTGTCATATCGCTACACGCAAGGCACGTGGCGCACCCGGGAGTAGTATACATTGATGGGGAATCCAAGGGACAATAACGTGGTATAGATTATAGCGCCACCTATGCGCGAGCCAGCAAAATTGATTTGGCCGCTACCGACCGTTTTTCACTGTTCAATAAAACGCAATGCTGTTAAAAACGACGGCAATGCGTGCTGCCATCATTCAAAAGGCTGACAGCTGACAGAAGGGGCAAAAATCACCGGTCAAGTCCCACGATCAATCGCCGATCCCATGGAATAGGTTCGGCTGTGTTGCAGAGAGCGCAGGAGAATTGCGCTCTCTCCCGCCGGCGGCCGCCAGAGACCGCCAGCACCGCCCGCGGCCTGAGGCCGAGTCTTTTTCATACTTTGCAAGATATATCGGCAACCAGGGCACCTAGAACCATAATTCCAACTTCAAAACATGGATAAAAAATGTATAAGTTTTACATCGGCGCAGCGAGGCAAAGGCGCAAGCGCTTGTTTCGGACTAATTGATGGCGAATGCTTGACTGGGAGATGAACAGCAATTACAGTGGTGATACCAGCTGCCATTTGGGGGCGGGGGGGGGGGGGGAGGGCGGGGGACGTTGGAGGAGGCGGGCCGCAATGTCTCGCCGCCGAATCATCGGGGCTTGACTCGAATCCCCGTGTGTCGTCACCGAGGCGTGGCGGACGGGCCTGTCCCCCGTCCTTTAAGCAAAGGGTGTGGGCAGTCGCTTGCGCTTCTCCTCGCCATCGAGGTGCCGAATCATCTGGAGATCGCCTGGTGCAACGGCCCCGCCAACAGAGAGCTCAGATCAGTCGGCGACCGCTGAAGGCCCTGGGGTATTCAGTCTAGGAAACTTCTGGGCTGACAGGTAACAGATAATTCCTTGCCCTCATGGCTTGGCTTCCTTCCCATCGATTATTTTGTGGGCCTCTTTCTCGGTCCCTCTATAGCGCTTCTTTCCACCTTACTACTACCTACTACTTGACATACAAATGACGTCACGGCGTACCAGTCTAAGCCACGGGAGGGAAAACTTACTGCTGAACTCTTAATGAACAAAAAAGTCCACATAAATGTGCACTTATGCGGGGCTTATATGAATCAACCGCATCTGAAACTTGAATACAACTCTTGCTTTGGGTATGCGGCCAACCCCTGGAGTGGCACTTCAGTTTGTGGGATGGGGAATCATTTAAGCTACATGAGCATATCCAAACAATGATGATAATCAAGTACGTGTCGACAATTTTCATGTCGACATAAAGCCAACATTCTACCCCTTCACCGACTTGGGTTCTTTGGGTCAGTACGTACACATCACATCACAGTACATCGTATCACAGTTACAGCATCACATCACAGTACGCCACATCACAGTACGCCGTATCACAGTACACCACATCACATGACGTACATCACAGTTACCCACCAACATCACATGACGTGACATCACAGTACACCGCATCACATGACGTCACATCACAGTACACCACATCACATGACGTCACATCACAGTACATCACATCACAGTACAACATCGGCCAACTCGTGTGGTGACTTAATAATAATATAAGAACACAATGTAAATAATCATGATAATTAAGCTTAATAACGGCTATTAATAACGGCAAATAAGAACAATATGATGAAAAGCAAGTTAATGCAGTTTTCGTTGGTCATTTCACACGACTGGTTGCTTGGTTACAGACGCATTCAAATTCATGCGTAGATTTCCATCTGCAGCAAATTGTTATAAGGAGCATCGCTGATATATCAAACGTGCATTAGGCCAGTTGTGATTTCTTGTCAAACAAATAAGCTGACATCGTGCAGAAAATTGTTGCATCGGCAGCACATGGCATAAAGAAAATGTTTTTTCAGCTTAATCGAAGGAAGAACGAAAATTGTCCTGATTAAGTGTGATGATCGGCCTCTGGTCAGTCATCACCCTAATCGATATCGACATAATTGAAACATATGCCTGACGTAACACGGACGTTAACGCAATCGTCGTCCTGCCTCCGTTATACGGATGCTGTATGTAGGCCTGGTTTGTTGACGAATCCATCATTCAGCATCCAAGCGGTGGGCCTTCAAAAAAGCAAACAAAAGCTTACCTTTTTGCATCCTTCAAAAAGCAAAACCAAAAGCTACCTTTTTGCATCGGTATCATGCGATTAGTGTGCAACACGTACAATACTGGTGCTGTTATGTGGGGGGATATTTATTGCATTTCGAAGGAAGCAGGACAATATTACAGTTTTTGGCTTGTCACTAAGTTCTGTGCCCGATAGAACGCGTCCTAAAGAGATGTTTTTTATCCTGGACGAAGGTCTAAAGGTTAATGAAACTACACACAATTGTATTCATTTTCTCCCGATTTTGCAACAGTTATGCAATTAACCGAACCTCTGGAGAGCGCCACGGCCTTGCTACTGCAAACCGAGCTGAGGAGGAAGACGAACAGCGGCGCTGCCGTCCAAAGGCAAAAACCCCATACGTTAATTTCTGGTCATTTTGCGTTTTTCATGTCATCCGACTCGTCTTCCCCACATTTAAAACAATAGTTGAGATTTGCGCAAGCCTTAGGCTAAAAGATTGAGCTAAATACTTATGAAAATTCGAACTGATGGCTGTTAATCACAAAATTCAGCGTGAGTAGACGAATCAGATGACCGTAAAAACGCAAACGGCCAAAAATTAACATATGGGGTTTTACCTTTGGACGACATGCCGGCCGTCACTTGACACAGTAGTAAAACACGCTTTGTCACGTCGTGTTTCCGATGATTGCACCCCAATAAAAGGTTTATATATATATATATATATATATATATATATATATATATATATATATATATATAATTTTTTAGTCTAGCCTGTTCGGACTATGTGTGATGAAAGAACAATGCCTCGCCAACCTAGTAACCAACAAATAGGTATGTATGAAAG